GGGGCAGAGCGGGGCCTTCCTGCAATACCGACCAATATGTCCCCATTTCCAACACCTATAACACTGGGTCGGCTGAAGCGGGGCCCAGTAGGGCTCACAGTTAAATAACTGGGCCCGGAATAGGACCCCGGAATCACAGGCTTTCTTGGCCTCTTCCTGACTCTCGAAGGCTACAACCACGGAGACCCAGTTAAGTGCCGGGTCCTTGGGAAACCGGAAAACCACCTTCCCAACGGCCCGTAAATCGGCCTCCTTAGCAAAGTCGGCCTCCGTAACACCCTGAAGATCGGCCTTCCTTAGGCCCTTGACTAATACTCCGTAGGTACGACGGGCCTCCTTGGCCTGTTCCCCAAAGGCCTGTTGAATCCATTGGCCATTAGCCGAATACCAGTCCTTAGTTAACGTATCGGCGAAAGTAACCACGACGTCCCCACTAGGGAGCTTCCTAGCCGCTATAGCTCCCTTGCGTCCCGAGGCTTGGTTGACGGCCTGTACGATTTCCTGTGGGGTTCTCCTAGCTAGGTCGGCTGGTAATTGGCCTCCCCGAACTAGGACTTCCCGGCTTTGTTTAGCGGGGATGACTTTGGTAGGCGGGACTGCAGCTGGAATAGCGGGTCCCCTAGCTACATCGGCCCAGGATCAGGAAGTCTGATTGGTTGGGTTGGCTAGTTTGTTGTCCCTCAGGGCCGCTCGTACCTCCTCAGCCACTACCTTGCGAAGGCTAGGTAGGTCGAGGGGCGGAGTAGTAGGCAGGGCAGTGGGTCTCCGGGATGGCTGTGCAGCCCGCAAACAGGCCAGTCGGTAAGCCTGTTGGATCTCCTGGGCTAGGAATTTAGCTTGGGCCTGATTTTCGGAAGCTAGGGCCTCAAGGCCAGCCACAAGTCTATTGAAGGCCGTTACTTCGAGGAACTGATTAGTCGATTTCGACTGCTTAGGTGGGTCTGGGAGCTTCCTGGCCGTCAGGTGGCTAGGTAAGCGGCTTGACTGGTGGCTGGAATGGCGGCTTGACTGAAGGTTTGGTGAGGTGGGCTTATTCGGCTGGCTTGGCTTATTTGGCTTATTCGGCTGAATTAGCTGATTCGGAGACTCTTCCCGGCGAATTGGTTGTATTGGGGAAGGAGAGGAAGAGGGAGGGGAATCCCTCATTTCAATATCCGGCCGGGCCTCCATGCCCCGCGCGGCTGGGTTGGATGCGGCTTGCAGGTGCGGCTTGGCGACGGTGCGGCTGTGCGGGGGTGGGGCCTTCCGCGAATCCAGGGAAAGACGGGCCCAGAAAGACTGGCCAGTGCATAGGCCTTATCTTATCTGGGTCACGTGGGCGCGGGGCGGCCTGTGCGCACCCCACGAAAATCTTGACGGTTGGAACGCAGCTCGAATACAGCGAATTCGCGGCTCGAATGCGGCTGCGCAAGGTCCTGCGCGGGCCTGCAACTGGTACGAGTAGATAGGTCTTTTCGAGAGCAATTGAATGATGGTATTTTCGAAGGTTTTGCCGGCCCTGTGGGCAGGCAGTGGCAATGCAGAAGAACCTCGATTAAGATATTATGTATATAACGTACTTTATCAGTGAGTGGCCCATATCAGTGAGTGGCCCACTCACCGCGTACACTACAACAACAATCCTCAATTACGACACAACAACACTATGAACCAACTATAATTACATCAGAAACAGCTGAGTTAGATGCTTCTACAGCCTCGTGGCAAGTGCGGGCATTATGGCCAGGCTTGCCGCACACACCACAGCACCGAACCCTTGTGCGAACCCCCCCTACACTACTATCTGGCTGCGTTTCTTGCGCTCCCTCTCCACCCACGGCCCTCTGGCCCAGTACATCCTGTGCATCCTGTATAACAAGTGACCCTCCAAGCTGCAGACGTGTTCTTTTGGCTCTTCGGCGCTTACTTAGCACCTCGTTAGCCTTGCGAAGCGAAAAGACCTCTGACTCCAGGATGGCCACCCGATGCATCACAGCCATCGTACCCTTGGCAAGCTGGTCCACAGCAGCCAACATCGAGGTCGGGGAGCTATTTTGATGGTTGGCAATGCGAGTCTTGATGAGCGTTGACTGCGAGTTGGCTTCTCGAGGGTTGTGAGGTGTCTGGAACACCCAAGGTTGTGGTGTGCTGGCTCGTGAGGTCGGGGGTGTTGGCGTACGAAGCTTGACATCCAACTTGGAAAGCACCCTCTCTGGATCGTGAGGAACAAGGCCAGCCCCGGTAAAGCCGCCCTGGATATTTCTCTCTGTCATAGAGGCAAAGAAGGCCTCGCGAAAGCCACAGAGAAACTCGAGCTTGCTCACGTGGGTGATATGCATTCGCATCAAGTCCTCAACCTGGCGACCGTACGCCTGCTTTAGCGGCCCAAAGCAGCCGACATCGAGTGGCTGGAGGAGGTGCGAGGAATGCGGAGGCATACAGAGCGTAAAAATGTTGTTCTGCTGGCAATGGAGCTCGAATTCGGTCGAGTGGTGGCTCTCGTGGCCGTCGAGGATCAATAACCTATATTTGCCCTTTGTCCGAGGCGCTGTATGGTAGTCGAAGTGCTTGATCCAATCCAGGCCTACCGCATTGGTAGTCCAGCCATTGTCGGTAGTTGCGATGCGCCAGTCGGCTGGGAGGTCGCACTCGGTGTACCAGTTGGCGAGGTGGTATTGTGCGGCTAAGATGATGAAGGGGGGGATGGCCCAGCCATAGGCATTGACGCCCTGTATCACCGTTGCCCACTCGCGGTTGCCAGGCTGAGCCAGCTTTGCCTTGCTACGGCCATCCGAGGTCGTAACCACCATGCCCGCAGAGATAATGCCCATCATAAACCCAGTCTCGTCGAAGTTGTAGATATCGTCATCCACGATACCATACTTGGCCTTGACGTTCCGCACGAGGGCAAACCATCCCCCAATGATCTTTGGATCTTCGCACTTGGCCCTCTGGTGATCGTATTTAAGCGTCCAACGCGTTTGGAGCTCTGGTTGGCGTTTGACGAATCGATGCGCCCAGAGTTGACCGACAGGAGGCGCCTCACGTACACGTAGCAGCTGGTTGGCCATATCTTCAACACCACACAATCTAGGTGGAAAAGCTCGCTTA